ATATATATATATATATAGATATATATATATATATATATAAATTAAACGGCCTTTCTCCTCCCGGAAACCTATCAAACTCTGCCATATTAATTAAATGATACACCCGACGACCAATGTACCAATATCAAGCCATTTTGGGGGCTTAATGACTGATCCCCAAGTCCCTCTCTAATATATTTACACACACACACACACACACACACACACACACACACACACACACCACACACACACACTTTTCCATATACATGTTTTACATAATGATTTTTTTCCATGGGGAAAAAAGTTTGAAAAAACTTACCCATGGGTAAGCTTGTCCCATGTTGCTTTTTTTTCTTTAATGCCAATTCCAACCCGTCCATGTTGGCCACATACCCAGCAGCAATTAATGGGAAATTTTGCCACACGCTAGCCCCCAAGAGTCTGGCTTCCTACCTCGGACAGATATATTATACATACTGATATTTCATTAATAACTTTTACATAACTGAAAAAAACCCAAACGCTTCCGTGTATTGAGAAGTCCGAAGTTCCGTTTTCTACATTACCCGAGAGAAAACGACTTAATACGATAAGTGCCATAATTTCATAGATTGATGACGCCTATTAATTCATTATTTTTTCCTTCAGACGCTAAGCCCGCCTTTCTTCAGAGGAAAAAAAATAATTTATTTCATTATTCTGGGTTTAAAATATGAGAGGTCTTAAAATATATGGTTTTATTGGGTCGTGGGGGCCTGTTTTCTGGCCTAAATGTGCGTGCTGGGTTGAGCTTTGGCTCTTGGGCAGCGTCACTCATCCTGTGAGTGGACACACCGCCATAGTGACAGTATTGGGCAGCGCCATTCATCCTGTGAGTGGACACACCGCCATAGTGACAGTATTGGGCAGCGCCACTCATCCTGTGAGTGGACACACCGCCATAGTGACAGTATTGGGCAGCGTCACTCATCCTGTGAGTGGACACACCGCCATAGTGACAGTATTGGGCAGCGCCACTCATCCTGTGAGTGGACACAACCCGCCATAGCAGCATGTACACACTCCCCAATAGGAGAAAACCCGCTGGGTTGTTCATCCTGTCACTTGTACCCAGACACAGCTGGGACTTGCTTAACTGTCTCAAGTGAACAGCTCCTCAAACAAGAAGATTAACATCTTGCATTAAGCGTTTATTAACCAAATTTTCTGACAGAATCAGATTCTCTCTCTAGTGACGAGAGAGAGTAGTTGACGAGGAGTCACAATAACGTGGCTGAAATATGTCGACCAGACCACACACTAGAAAGTGAAGGGACGACGGCGTTTCGGTCCGTCTTGGACCATTCTCAAGTCGGGAATGGTCCAGGACGGACCGAAACGTCGTCGTCCCTTCACTTTCTAGTGTGTGGTCTGGTCAACAAAGAGTATGTTGTTGTTATAGATTCAGCTACTCGGAACAAGTTCCAAGTAGCACGGGCTATGGTGATCCCGTAGAACAAAGAGTAGTTTCTACCACAGACATTTATTATCCTCAGACATGATCACTTTACAATGGTCATGTCTGCCAGACATACACTTCCGTCTGTCGTAAATGTTGGGAGCAAGAGAATGTCACACTGCATAGTGAGCTGTGAAACAATCACACGAGGTCGTTAGAGTGAGTTTTACATATTCAGTTTATAATTACTTGACACATGTTACATAACTGATACAATTTATGGAAGATATTGTACATCGCGTGTTCCAGTATTCAGATAATATTTGGAGTTTGGAATATCTCAACTCTTGGCGGACATAGTCAATTCTACAGTATAATTGAACAAATCCACAAGGGCCGTGACGAGGATTCGAACCTGCGTCCGGGAGCATCCCAGACGCTGCCTTAATCGACTGAGCTACGACATTACAGTATAATTGTCAGAGAATATATCTCTTCCATTTGACGGAAAAGACAGTTTATTCCAAGTTCAAGTTCAGGGACAGTGTGCAGCTACGTCGATGTGTATCCCAGGTTGCTGCTGTTGTTCTAGATTCAGCTACTGGGAACCAAAAGTTGGAAGTAGCACGGGCTATGGTGATCCCGTGGTGAACTTGTCTGACACAGGAGCAGGGGGGGGGGGCTGTAACTCGGTGAAACTGTTACAGATTGATAAAGATTAAGCCACCCAAGAGGTGGCACGGGCATGAATAGCCCGTAAAACTGGTGCATTATTAGATCTAAATATAAAGGTCTCAGTATTCAGGAGGGTTTGGTGGTCAGCCTTGGAGGTGGAGGGTGACGTGTTTACAGACGTCCGGGACATGGAGGAGGAGGTGGTGGAGTGTCTCAGGTGATGGGCCAAGGGCGACCCTCACACTAAGCTCTCCCTCAGACCGCTAAGGAAGTCCTTGTGAACCTCTGTCCAGGACCCTGGGCTGGCCGGTCGGCCGAGCGGACAGCACGCTGGACTTGTGATCCTGTGGTCCTGGGTTCGATCCCAGGCGCCGGCGAGAAACAATGGGCAGAGCTTCTGTCACCCTATGCCCCTGTTACCTAGCAGTAAAATAGGTACATGGGAGTTAGTCAGCTGTCACGGGCTGCTTCCTGGGGGTGGAGGCCTGGTCGAGGA